GCAATTTTGGTAAGATTTATGGTGGACAAATTGAGACCAAACATAGAATAATGATGATTTTTAAAAGCTCATAGCTCTATACAGAATGGGATTTAAAAAAAAACTCTTCATTTTTTGTTAATTCAAGCTTCAAACTAACTGATTATGAAAAGCTTTTTGATTATTTTTATTTGTTGACAGACTAGATAGAATTAAAAAATTTCATGTAAAAGTTGCTGGGACTAGACTAGATGCACCATAAATTTATGGTTCAAGTATACATGGGATGGTAATTTCTTAATTACTGTAAATACGTAATACATAATTATCATAATCAATTACCACTTTCCCTCTTTAAAAATGTAATTACGAAATTAATTATGTATTATGGGTGACAAAATTAATTACAGGCAATGAAATTAATTATGAGAAATATCATAATAATAATACAAGTCACTCGTGTTATAATGACACTCTCTGTACCAGCAAAAAATGTCAGTATAATGGGAGTTCATAGAAGTCATACGAGAATCAATTTTTTGATAAAAACCTATAATATTCATGCTCTTTCATTGCCCATGTAATATGACTATTCCATTCTCTGACCTTCATTTCTTTTTCTTCTGACATCCAATAATTTGCATTGAACCTATGTTCTTTGCAAATATGACATAAATCACTTCTTGGAGTAAGAAATTTAATTTCTAGAAGACATGTATGCCATATTCTTTGAAATGTTCTATTTGAGACATATATTTCAGAATTTTCTTCAATTGTATCAATAAAACATTTAAATACTGTTGCATAATTTTCATCTACTGGAAAAAATACAATGTGTCTTGTATTTCTTTTAAAACTTCTTCCTATAATTAAATACTTTAATTGTGAAACTTTTGTTTGCAAAATTTAATTGTAATCAACTGTTTTTACTTGGAGATGGAAGTCCATTTACATTAGAATAATTTAATATAAATTTAATAATTTGCAGAACTCCATTAAATGATATTGCTCTGTTGCTTACTTTTACTGTTAATGAATTGGCTCTAGTTTGTATATCAAAATCATTAAAGTATCTTCTAATATTTACCCATCTTGTTATGCCTATACCATAAATACCCAAAGAATGCACTTTTACAAATTTTTATTCTATCAAAAAAATAAACATTTGCTAATTTTTCCCTTCTCTTTCCTTTAGGAGTTATTTCATCTCTCAAACTAGAAGAAATGCCTTTCAAAAACATATCCTGTTCAATTAACCAAGTTTAGTAAAGATCAACAACAAATTATTACTCTCTTGTTTTTCTTAAATCAAGAAAATATTCATATCTAGTTTCAATTTCATTAAAATCTAATTTCACTCTCAAAAATACTTTTGACAACAATGTCTATTAAATAATTTGTTTTTTTATTTCTTTACAATAACCAGTTGGTAAGTATTATATTATAATTTAACTTTTACAACACAAAATCAGCATCATCTAATTAAATAATTTGTTTTTTTTATTTTTTTATAATAACCAGTTGGTAAGTATTATATTATAATTTAACTTTACAACACAAAATAAACATCATCTAATTAAATAATTTGTTTTTTTATTCTTTATAATAACCAGTTGGTAAGTATTATATTATAATTTAACTTTTACAACACAAAATAAACATCATCATCTAATTAAATAATTTGTTTTTTTATTTCATAGAGCATAAGTATTATATTATAATTTAACTTTCACAACACAAAATAACAAAATAAACATCATCTAATTGAATAATTTGTTTTTTTGTTTCTTTATAATAATCAGCATGTAAGAATTATATTATAAATCAACTTTTTACAAAATAAATTTTATTAACATCATCTAATAAACTTATTTTTTATTTCTTTATAATAACCAGCTGGTAAGTATTATATTGTATTATAAATCAATTTTTATAATTTTTATATCTAATTATTAAGTTTATTTTTCTTTAATAAATCCTTTTTTATAATAACCAGGGAGTAAGTATCATATTATGAAATTAACTTTTACAACACAAAATAATTTTTATTAAAACATTGATTAATTAATAAATTTATTTTCTTTATAATAACCAGCATGTAAGTAACTTTTACAACACAAAATAAATTTTTATAGCATCATCTAATTAAATATTCTTTATTTCTTCATAATAACCAGCTGGTAAATATTATATTATATTATAAAATAACTTTTACAACACATTGTCTAATTAAATAAATTTATTTTTTGCATTTATAATAACAATTGAAGGTAAAATAATTTATAAATTTATCTTTTTTATAACTTTTAAATGAATGTCTATATAATTCTATTTTATTTTGAATTTTTTATAATGAAATAATAAGATAACACTAAGGGGTTTAAAGAAAGAAAAGAAGAATATGGAACCTGTTCTGTTTGTGCAAGATATAATACTAATTACCAGTGGTGTCAATCATGTGATCCCAAATTGTTAGCTCAAAGTTGGACTAGTAGTGGTAATGACAAATTAGATGAAATAATCAGAAATACACAGCTTGAAGCAAAAGGATTTGATAGTTATCATTATCTTGAATGGATTCCTTATGACCAACTCACAGTTGAAAAAGGAATAGAGAAGGTGGTTTTGCAACTGTGTACAAGTGTTATTGGTCAAATGGTCCTAGATATATTAGTAATAATAAAAGATATTATCGTGATAATGGTGATGTAGCATTAAAAAAATTTAAAAACTCTCAAAATATTTCTGATAAGTTTTTAAAGGAGGTAAATAATTTGAAAATTACAATTAATTAATGGTTTTAAATAATATATTAATTTTTTATTGATTTTCATAAAGCTTAAAAACCACATTAAATTTATAGGACCTTATCACAAGGGTATTGTTAATATTTATGGCATTTCACAAGATCCAAATACAAAAGAATATGTTTTTTTAATGAGATATGCAGCTGAAGGAGATTTTAAAAAATATTTAAAATCAAATTATACAGGATGAAATGATAAAATTAAAAAACTTTATAATATTATCTCAGGTTTAAGCACACTTCATCAAGAAAAACTTATGCATAGTGATTTTCATAGTGGTAATATTTTATATTTTTGATATTTATCTGAGACAATGATTGCAGATTTAGGGTTATCAAGCCCAGCTGATCAAGAAACATCAAGTAAAAATGATATATTTGGAGTACTGCCATATATTGCACCAGAGGTATTAAATAAAAAACCTTGTACACAAAAATCTGACATCTATAGCTTTGGGATTTTAATGTCAGAAACATCAACACATCAACAGCCATTCAAAGATGTACCACATGATATAGATCTTGCTTTCAAGATCTGTGATGGCTTAAGGCCTAGTTTTTCAGATAATACTCCAGAATGTTATATTAAGTTAGCATACAAATGCATGGATGCTGATCCTGAAAAAAGACCAACAGCTGATGAAATTTTAAAAATTATTACTTTTTGGAAAGATGCAATTGAATATAATATTTTTAGTTATTCTGAAGAACAGTTTGATAAATTAAAAGAAATAAAAGATATATTTGAGGAAGCAGATAAAAAATCCTTTAATCCTTCAACAATCATGGCAACTGTTCATCTGAATGCTGTTTATACAAGTAGATTATTGAATTTTACAAATCTTCCTCAACCTGTAAACTCCAACAAAGTTACAATTATTAGTAATAATAATGGTAATTATATAATTTATTGTTATATATTTAATCTTATTATTTATTATTAATGATATTTTAAATTATTTAGAATCTCAACAAATTGAATTAACTGTCAGATTCTAAACAAATTGAATTAACTATACCAGATAACTTATGAATAAATTTTATTTATCTGTTTATTTATTATTATTAAAAAAATTTTTTTAATGATTATCTATCTATTTAATTAAAGCAAACCTTCCTTGTGATTTAACCTGATTGAAGTGACCTATCATAGTGGTTGTATCTGTTGATTATCTGGGTGTTTAAGTACTTGGTCAATCAATAACACTTGGATAATCAGTCAGTCAATAAAATTCAACATCCAGTGAAAATTTTCAACACCCAATTAACTGGATAATCAGTGAATATCATTTAGCTGATACAACGGGTTTACCCAGATCAACCGACAGATATTATACCAACAGGACATTATACCAACAGGACATTATACCAACAAGTCATTTTCTAATATATTCTATCAATTTAGCATAATACAGTCAACCCCTCTAAGTGCACCTCTCTAAATGCACTCACTATGTAAACCCTCTCTAAATGCACGCTATGTCTCATTCCCAAACTTATAGTGAGCTTATAAATTATCCCCTCTAAATGCACACCCTCTCTAAATGCATGTTCATGAGAAATAATGATATGTTCCCAAGGAGGGTACACTTAGACCATTTATTAGCCAGCTAAGCTGTTCAAGTCTGTTAAACCATTTATTAGATGGCTAGGCTGTTTAAGTGGTTAAGCCATTTATTAGACAGCTAGATTGATTAATTGCACTATGAAATTACTTGTTGGTATAATGTCCTGTTGGTATAATGTCCTGTCAGTATAATGTCTTTTTGGTATAATGTCCTGTTGGTAAAACGTCCTGTCGGTATAACAGCTGTTGGTATAATGTCTGTCAGTCAATTGGTCAGGACCCGATACAACCATTAACCTATCACCATGTCTCTTATCATCATTTAGTATTATTTATTTATTATTTATTAGTATTTTTATATTTAAAATCTATATACACTGTTTTAACATCAATCTATAAACACTAATAAAAATGATCATTGAGATAAAAATCTATCTCTCAGTAAATCTCAATATTTATTTATAATAATATGCTAACAATGTTAATACAATTTCTTCCAATTTATTTATGACAACAATTTTTGTGAACACATATTTATGCTTTACTCTCAAAACTATCTTTCACTATTATTAAACAGTTCCTTACACTAAGAAATACTAAATAATACACTGCCCTCCAAAAAGTATTTGGACGATGTTTTTTGATAATTACGCAAAATACCACATAACAAAAGTACATAAAATTTATGTCATTATATGGCTTAGTTCTAATGACTCTACATATAAAATCTCATTTTTCTATCATTCTTTTATGATTTTTAATTAAAAAAAAACGAACACCGACCAAAATTTTATTTAATGATGATCATTTCAAATTTTTTAATTTTTTAAAATTTTTTAAAAAAAATACTAATATTCCGTTGGCCACCCGTTATTAGAAATACATGCTTCAATCCTTCTCGGCATACTTTCAATAAGGTTATTTAAT